AACTGGTGACCACAAATGAAACTTGTAGGCCCTTCGTGAACGGGACACCAGAGGTCAGAAGGGACGGCAAAGGCCCATGCTACCCTGGGACAGGAAGAAGGGTTGCTGGTCTTTCTCAGCGGAGGGAAAAACTCAGGAACAGAGTAACACGTGGCATGTACCATCGCAGTCAATTTCTCGTGTAATGCCAACCGGAGGCCGCCTGCACTCTGTGACTGTCACCACCACTTCCAGGCGGTGCAGGCCACGTCCCTGCCACCACTCAGCCCTGACCGCTCCCCGCCAGCCCTCCAACCTCGGCTTCCTGCTCTCCTGGGCCTGTCCTGCCCATAAACCGACAGACACACTGGGTGTCTCTGAAGGGCCCCCCAGGGAAGGCCGCTCGGAGTCCCCAGAGAGACTAAGTGTGGCGCTCAGGATTAAAGGGGACCGTGGTCAATGCTACTTACCTACCTGAACTTCTCACGGAGACCGGCCCCCCAGAGGCTCCTTGCCTGCTGCCGGAGGCAGCGGCGGCGGGGGTGGGGGAGAAGGGGACAGTCTAGGCCCAGGGAGGAGCCCTGTCCCGCACACCCAGCCCTCTGGGGCACCCACACCTACCGCTGGCCTTGGCCTCCGTGTAGGAGGAGCCGTCCTCGAAGGTGAAGATCTGGGAGACGCTCTGGCCCAGGTAGGACGGGGGCGGGTAGTAGGAGTGCATCCTGTACTGGGAGCCCATGGCGTGGCGGCTCTCGACGCTCTTCATTGGCTGGGGAGACAGGAGGGGCGTGAGACAGCTGCACAGGGGCCTCCTCGTCACCGTCACCGTCACCGGACGGCCCTCAGCCTGGCCCTGCAACCTCCGGGTCCTCACAAGCCCTGAGCCCAGCGTCCTCAGGGTCCCTGATCCTCTAGGCCACACCCTTCGCGTTCACGAACATCAACTGCTTGTCAAACCTCCCCAGAGCTTGTCCCATGGCCCTTTTCTCTTCTCCCTCGGTAGAACACCACCTTACCAAGTGAACACCTAGCTACCTACCCACCTATCCCCTAGTCCCCTGCCTCCACCCAAGTGAACATCTATCTATCTATCTATCTATCTATCTATCTATCTATCTATCTATCTATCTATCTATCTATCCATCCATCTATCTACTATATCTACCCACCTATGCCCTAGCCCACTCCCCCACCCCACCTCAGCCCTGTGCCCATCAAAGCCTGTTTCTTTTCTGCATTAAAACCTGGGTCTTGATTTTCCCCTTTTAGAACAATGACCTCCGATGATATTTGTCCTTCTGTGATTGGCTGGCTTCACTCAGCATCATGATCTCCAATCCCGCCAAGTGTGAGGTACCGCCCAGTTTGAAAACACCGTTCTACAGGGGTGTGTGGTGCTCCATCATGGGCGTGTACCAAAGTTTATTGATGGATTCTGGTGGGAGCCTCGGAGCCCTGGCTCAAAATCACCAGTTACTCGGTGGCAGGGATTCCAGGCTCTATAACCCCATCGAGAGTTAGTCTTGGAATCCCACAGGGACAGTCCGCCCTGTCTGATCAGGTGGCTTTGGGTCAGGGCAGTGGGTTGAGTGGGAGTCACCTGGTGGCAGGTAGCAACAACAGCATGGTACAGGGGTGGAGGGTTCGAGGAAACATCGTGAACGGCATTTGCTCACGGAGGCACTGACCCCTGATGGACTGCAGGGGGGAGAAACGAGGGGCACGAAAGTACCAGGAAGCGAAGCAGGTCCCTCCACGCACGCAGCTCTCCGTGGCCCCTTCCTTGGCGCCCAGTGGACTTCCCAGTGTCCCAAAGTGGCGATACCAGTCCCTGGGGTGCTGGCACGATGGGAACGGGGGTGATGGGGGTGTTATTGCTAGGGGAGCAGTCTTTTCGTTTCCCCAGAAAATGGGCTGGCAAGCAAGTTTGGGAGCCTGTGGTCTAAATCGGGGTGGTGACTCTTCTGCCAAGGCCCTTTGGCTATCCGTTACACCACTCCCTGGCCGCTGGTCAAACAGTGCATCCACGCCCCCGCGTGATGGCTCACCGTCCTCTGGCAGGGCCCAGGATCTCAGCCGGCACTGATGCTTTCTCAGGGGCTCGGTGGCCACGGTGGCTATGTGCTGGGCTGCTAACCGCAAGATGGGCAGTTTGAAACCACCAGCCGCTCCTCCGGAGAGAGACGAGGCTTCCTAGTCCCGTTCAGTCTCAGACACACCCAGGGTGGATCTTCCTGTCGTAAGGCCACCGGGAGTCAGTGGACTCGGTGGCTGCAAATTCGGTTTTTATTTTTGTTTAGGGTGCTCTTTAAAGTGGTGACAAAGCAGGGAGGTTGCTTTGAGGGCCGAGGGGGCAGCCGACCCCAGCCATACGGTATATCGAATGCCGCATCTTACGCATGTGGAAGTCGGACATGCGGAGAGGCCGGACAGGAGAGAGCGAAGAAGATCAGTGCATTTGAATGCTGGTGCTGGAGTGGCGCACGGAAGTACCCCTGACGGCTAAAAGGACAGACAAAGCTGTCTTGCGAGGACGGTGAGACCTCATCTCACGTCCTTTGGACATGTCAGGAGAGACCGGTCCCTGGAGAGGGACACCGTGCTTGGGAGAGGAGAGGGGCAGTCACACGAGGAGAGCCCCCAACGAGAAGGATGGCCCAGCAGCTACATCGATGGCTCACACCTAAGAGCCATTGGGAGGAGGACCGGCGCAGGACTGGGCAGTGTCTGCTTCGTCCTGCTGGACTCGGGGCTGCTAAGAGATGGAACTGACTCCACAAGCCCTAACAACAACACACTGCCCACCCTGGTCTACATGAACACTTGTGCCCGCCACACACTGCCCACCCTGGTCTACACGAACACCTGTGCCCGCCACACACTGCCCACCCTGGTCTACACGAACATCTGTGCCCGCCACACACACCTGCACACACTGCCCACCCTGGTCTACACGAACACCTGTGCCC